CCCCAAAACCCCAAAACCCCAAAACCCCATCATTTAATAGGTATTGGATTTAATCAGAAATTAAAGATTAATCAGAAATATAGTAAAAAAGTGCTAGGTTTCTTCGATATGTGATTTAAAACAAATAATAATTAAAGTTAAACTAAGCAATGTCTCAGAATAAAGACATTTTGGACACATTAAAGCAGTAGCAGTCTCCCAAATCAGCAAACCTATAATTCTCTAGAACCTTATAAAATTCTAAGTCAGCAGCTCAATTTTCAAGGACCTAGAATCTATAAAATAACATTCAATAATACAACAGCTCAAACTAAAAATCTTCTATTCTCTCTCCTACACAGAGTTCAATAGAGACAATTCTTCAATATAACAATAAGTATCCCCTTGCACCTATGTTTAGTCATTAACAGACTTATAAGACTATAAAGATAAGGAGTATGCAAAGCTAGCCATTACTCTTGTTTGATCATGCTTCTTACCTTAATTCACAGAACACAAAGTATATTACGAAGGGTGAACATATTTGAGAGGGTATAATGAGTTAGAAGTATCAAAACTTTAATAGAATAGTTCTAAACAAATAAAAAGCAAAGTTCAAGTAAACTAACATAAAATTAGAACAGGATAAACTGAATAATGACCTTGGCTAGCTGCTTAAATAAACATCAATCATGTTTTAGAGAACAGCCAATCAATCTACAGGAGTAAGTGGAGGAGCAAGGAAATCAAGGCAGCAGCAATTTCAAACCTATGAGAGTAGTCCAACAAGAAATCTTGTGAACACAGAGAGTAAATTGATTGATCTCGAAATAAATACCATAGAGCAAAAGAATCCTTCTTTGCTAAACAAAACCCCATTTAAAAATGAGAAGATACTAAAATCATCTTTTCCTGATGACTCCCAAGTAGATTAATTTGAGAATTGTACCCCCGAGACACTTACCCAGGAAAGTCCAAGAAATAAATTCCTTGATAGATAGTTCTTTTAAGAAAAGATACTTAAACAAAGGCAGGTTGATACTGACAAGATGAAGAAAATTATGCAAAATAAGTATAAGGAGAAGCTAAGACTTCTAGATATGAAGTACAATATAAAGCAAGAGTTGATTGATAGAAATCAAATTAAAGATAGACAGGGAAGGAGGCTTTTCAGTTAGTCAGGTGGCAATACCTTTTTCAAGGATGGGAGGTTGACTCATATTAGGTAGGACTTGGAACCATTTAGTGAGAAAACAAATTATATGGAATGCGCAGAGTAGGCAAAGACTCAAAGCTAGTTTTATACCATAGCCAAGAGAATTGAGAAGTCCAAGTAAATACATTTCAATCATTATGTGAGCATGAATCGTTTACCTTTGAGGAACTCACACATCAAAGAGGCCTACAATTCTATAAAGTTAAATAACATCTAAGATGAAATTCTCCCTTCTTACAAAAGATTGGGGCTTTTTACTCCACAAGCTTCATCTACTAATTTCTTTTAATCTAGATAGGCAGTCTAAACAGGTCTCAAAACATAATTATCTGCAATTGATCCATATATAGAAATTTAAAACGCAGAAGGAGATGCCCATGAAAATTAGAATATAGAGACATCATAACTGTTAAAATAAGAATTTCTTAAAGACAAGGCAAATCAGAGAATTTAAGAGCATAATAAAATAGAGGGTAATTTGCATAAGAAGAGAATTGTGAACATAACATTAGACTCTGATTTGGATTAACCTATAAATGGATAAGAATAGGATTTCTAAGAGTATAATCTTGATAACTCTTAGTAATTGGAAGTTATTTATAACGATCCAGTGAAAGAGTAAGAAAGAAGGTATGCTGAATCTTAAAGGTGGATGGAAAGATACAACAAGAAAGTATTTGAAGGCAAAGTTTACAAATTGAAGCAGAACTTAAACCTTGTATTGCATGATATGCAGCAAACTCAGATTAAAATTATGGATTTTCACAGTAACATGACCAAAGTCATAGATGACGTAGAGGATGACTTAATAGTATTAGAGAACATGAGAAGACTCAATGCTGAAAATGGTAAGAAACGTAGATGAAACTTATTCTTATTATATAATTTCCAAGTCAGCCTAAATATAAACTTTGCAGCAAGTAGGGGTTTTGGGGTTTTGGGGTTTTGGGG